CATGTCTTATATGGTCTTGTTTTTTCAAATTGACCCTTTTTTTATGTTTGCACATACTACAACACCTGTGTATTACACAGGTGCTTGTTAAAATATAGGGAATATAAATTAATTAAATTACATACACTTGTGAGAGGTGTATTGCTATGACGACAAAAGTCACGTGTATGAGGGTTCATATTTTTTGGTCAAATAATAATTCATTACAGATAGAAATGTGTCAGCACATTTTACAGATAGAAATTGAATTCACATGCAAACGTCTTCACATGACTATTCGGTATTCACATCTCCATAATGTTGCCCATGCCGATTTTTTTTTCCTATAAAAAAAACATGCATAATTACATATTGAAAAATTTTGGAAAAAAAAAGCAGTGGACAACAATAGAAAGCACGTATTTAATAAATATGGTTTCTATACAATTTGTATAGAAAACGTATTCCCTAAATACGTTTTTTCAAATTTTTTTACAAAAGAAAACGTATTCGGAAGTGGCATGTCGTTTGGTAGACCCCAACCACTTCGGAAGATAATATCTTTCACCACGATATGGTGTCATGAAACCCGGAATATGTGGCATGGTCGATTTACGTGTGTGTTCATAAATATAAAATATATTATTATTTTAGTAAGGTTTAAAACAAAAAATATACTTGACTTTTTTTTTTTCCAACGGACAAATCTCGAACACGGTAATTTGCGTCAAAAATCTGTTAATGAACACAAAAATTATTACAACGTAAACAAATATTTTCAAAGCAACTCAAATTGAAATCACATTAATTTGTAATAAATATGATGGTTGTATTAATATAAGGGGAATAATGTGGGGCCCCCATTTTTATATAAAGAAAATGTGCCATATCTATTTATGCATGGAAATAATGTAAACAAAAATAGAGTTGTGCTGTCACATGCAAACATTTTTTTTTTTTTTTTGACTCAACGCAATTATGGACAACTTTTTATTAATATAAATGTTACTTTATATATGTATGTACTATATTCGTTTGGTAATAGCAACTTCATTTTTTTTTTTGTTACTTCAATTTTTTGTTTTAGTTGCAATTATTTATAACTATTAATTTATAATAAAATTTAAATTAATTATAATGTCAAATTTGGCCTACCCCGTAACTATATATGAAGGCCATAATCGTCGACACCGTAAATTCAATTTTCCACAGAGACCAAAATACAGTATAATTTTTAAAATTCAAAAGATGATTTTACTCATGACACTTACTCCAAAAACATGTAAAAACTAAACCGATATTGGTCTATTTTGCTTTTAATTAATAGAAGTGCGCATACAACAGGTTTATCAATAAATACGATGTTCTTATCTTCGGTTCGCCCATAGCGCTTGGGCTATGCTGTCACGCAACACACAATGCTCACCACCGCCGATGTTGGAGTTATTACTCGACATAAAAGGGAAAGTCCGATCAGTTGGATCATGTCGTCGTACGTATTCTAGGTTGTTGAATTCAGGCGGCATGTTTTCGAGCGGTTCATGCATCCGAATAAAATTATGTAGGACACAACATGCTATTACTATGTCGGTTTGGGAATGAACTTTGTAGTTTG